CGACTGCTCTGAATGGGTCAGCGCTGAGGACTATGCCTCGTATTTTCACAGATCCTCTATAACTCCATCCCACACATGTGAGCGAGACCCAGACTACGGCCGTGCCGCCACACATCCTAATCCTTCGTACAGCTGGGCGGTTGTCTTTGCCCGAGTTATGCAGTCATCATGGGCTACCTACACTCTCTGGCGCACTGGAGACGTCCAGTTCCGCTATAATGCGCTCATTACGGGAGGAAACACACCATGCCATTTCGACTTCCTCCCCGGGTACTTCACCACCCGCATCGCCCTGCAGGTCAGTGTTGTACTCCCGGAATTTACCTGTGCATCATTTGATGTCATTTATACTAGGTGCCCGAGCTCGTACTAAATCTCACTGCGTTGCTGTCCACGTCATTTTTGGCCTGGCGCATTGTCAAGGGATACAGCGCGTCCACGATCCGTCGCGTTGGTCCTCCCGCGGGGGTTATGCGTATCTATAAAGTCAGTTTCCTACCTCCATCCTTGCGTATGTGCATATTTGACCCCTAGTTCTCAGTTCTTCCTGGTCGACTCTATGTTCCTCCAACTTTCTCTGTTCTTCACCGTTACCGCCATCAGCCTATGGATCGACCAGTTGCGGAATAGCTCGATCGCTATGCTCGCTCATCATCCCGGGCTCTACTACGCGCTGTTCATTGGCACCATTGTGGTACGTGTTCGACCCTGCAGAGCTCCTATGCACCTCTATCTCCATCTCATTCATCCCTTCAACAGACCATTGTTCCTTGGATGATCATGGTGCGTCTTGATCCCATGTCCAGAGGCTGTCCTAGCTGAATCCACTTCATCTCCGTTAGGGCTGGTTTGCCGTACGCCGAGAGATGAAGCTCCTGATGGCCGGCTTCCTCTTCCTCAACATCTGTTACATCGCCCTCTGGAGCGCCATGTTCTATTCGAGCGTCTACCGCTGGACCTTCATTGAGTGGCCGTTCTTCGCTTGCAGCACCATGGTGTCGATGGGCGTCCTTGTCGGAGCTGCCATCTTCGGCACCATCTCCTGGGTCAACTTCGGCAGAGGCCTCGCGCACTACCGTACGCTCTTCCTCCATACGTATCGCGCAGTGTGCTGACCCATTGAAATCACACATACAGTGCACGTCGAAGCCGTCCTGCTTGAGTCCGATTTCAACCCCGACGTCTTCACGAACGACGAAGAAAAGGCACCCGCGAACTCATCCATGAACACCCCCGTGCAGCGCTCCCCTAGCGCACTCTCGCAGCTTTCCGCGGAGGGCGTGTCCGTCGTGAAGAAGGACACGAACTGGGACTTCTCGGACGTGAACCGGCCGGCGATCTACACCGTGGACGTGCAGGTGAACCAGGGGACCGTGAGGAGCATGGACTCGAGCATGAGCAAGGACTCGCTGGCTAAGTAGATACTGGACTATCGTCGCTGATTTTATTCTCCTATTTCGTCTTTCGTCCCGCGTCCCATGTTGTATGCTGTCGTCTCTGCTATCATGTTATCGATGCCACATGCATGGGTGGACACTGGACTTGTTCTTTGTCGGTATGTACGTACCACCTTCCTGTCTTTACATACGTGGAGATGCGCAGCAGCTCATAACGCCGTCTCCTCGGTGGCCTCTGTTCGACCTTCAGAGTCTGCTTCACATTGGCAAGTGTTTTCGTGGGGAAAGTGTCATCACAGAGCCTCTGATGACTACACAAAGATGTAGGGGTATACAGTATTGCTCGAATGTTCGGACTTGTTGGACAACCATTCAATAGTAAGGTGTCAACAAACGAAAGAGTGGCAAGGTGTGCAGGTGGGGGATAATTACTTGTGGTAGAATAATTGGGAGTTGCGGTAGAGGGTTGAACACTCAGACGAGCAATATTGCTGGGAGTCGGAGTAATCAGATAATGTACGGCTGAGCGTTCGTTACCTCCGCGACATGCTTCAACTCGCTACACCCGCTGCGCTTGAGGCATTTCGCAACCCTCTCGCCAACATCCTGACCCTCAAAGTATGCTCCGTGCAAAAATCCTGGAAGAGCTCTCGTCAGCGCCTGATAGTACCAGGGTGTCGCCACAATAGGCACTCACCGAAGTACTTCTGACTGGTCGCCTCGCCGGCGAACCACAGCCGTTTATCCACCGTGGCGCGCAGGTTCTCGTGGTGCTGGCTGAAGAAGGACGATGGCCAGTTCGAGTACGAGCCGCGATAGAGCGGATCGCTCGCCCAGCGGGGAAAGTGGAACGCCACGGGGTCAGGTACAGTCACGTTCGGGAGCATGCTCCGCAACACGCCCATCACCTCATCCTGCACTTGTTGGTCGGAGAGCGCCTCGATGCGGAGAGAGTAGTCACCCTGTCATTCGAGTCAACCATGCCGGACGAGCGCAGGAGGAAAGTGGGCGTCAGGAACTAGTTGGGTGGTTCGACAGCGTTTGTACGTACTGTTACAGTGACGAACGCTATCCCGGAGCCGGGGAAGAAGTTCTCGTGGTCCAGGCTTTGCCATACAGGATAGCGTCCGCGTTCCGAGTCGGCATATAGTGCCATCTGAGTGAATAGAGAGGTAAGGAGTTAGCGGCGGTCCGGCTGACAGTGCGCAGCTATCATGTGAGCGGCGTACTTGCCTCAGTGTCAAACCAGAACTTCTCGGGGAACTGTAAGAATATCTTGGTGTACGTCGCCTATGGTATGCAAGGTCTTTGAGTATCCCAAAGCGCGCCCAAAGCCTGGTCAGGTAGTTACGCCACCACACGTACCATGACCATGCTTTGGATGGCTTCCTCCTTCCAGTCCGGGAGCGGCGGATCGAAGACCACATCGTCGTGCTGCAGGACGCCCAAGCTGAACGTGCAGATAGCGTAGTCTGCCTTGAGCTTGCGTCCGTCGGCGAGGCGAACCGACACCCCCGAGGATGAGTACGTGATGTTCGTTACGGTGGCGTTCAATAGAACCTGATCTTCCTGCAGGAACTCGGCCGCCTCGGCTTGGATGAAGTGCTTGAATCCCCGCTGGTCAAGGGACATCTGGTTATCATCTCCGAAGCCGCCCTGGTCGGTGTCGTACGTGAAGTTGTTTCCCTATTGAAATGTGCGCGTCAGCGGTAGTCTTTGAATACCTCCGGCTCCTCGTTTCTCGGAGCACAAGGCCTCCTGATCCCTAGCACGAATAGCGAATAGTAAATGGCAACACTCACCCAAGAGCTGGCAATCCAGGAGGACTCCTCTGGAGTCTGAGCATATTCCCAATCGAACTGATAGTACTCGCTGGCCATGGCATGCGCTGTGCGCGCCTTGGCCTGGATGAGTGAGTATCCGGTGCGCGCCGTGCCATCGACGAGCTTGCGGTCCACACGGGCTCCTGCGGCGACGGTGAGCTCGCCATATGCATCCCCCGCGTCGTTGAACACATCAATGTAGTCGACAGCGCCGGTTGAGTCATATGTCGCTAATCCGAGATGTTGAGACGGAGGTCGCTGAACGTCATGAGTGGGGAGAGACCTACATATGCTACCGAACCAGTCGTTGAACTGGGTGGTGAGATTGTGCTTCTGCGCCAGAGTCCAGATTGGGTTCGCGGGACCATCGTCCGTCTGCGTGCCCTGTATCCAGTTTGCGCCTGACGGGTATATAATGAGAACCTCGACGGTGGAAGTACGCTGCGCGGCAAGTGAACCTACCCATTTCCAGCTTGACCTCTCGTCCCGGCGCACCGAAGGTCTGTGAGAACAACCGGCCACCAAGTTCGCCTATGGATATCAATAAACGTGTGAGAAGACTGCGGTTCGAATGTATTGGAACAACCCACCTCGAGCTTCGACGATCGTGAAGTTGGTGATGCCTTGCTCATGGAGCGTGCGGGCGGCGATGACCCCAGCAACACCACCGCCCAGTATCAGCACGCTCCCGTCTGCTGCAGGCTTGTTGCGTGCCGCGGCCCTAGCCTCTACAGACAACGCAGCAGTGCCGGGAATTGATGGCGCAAACGGCAGAAGCCCCAGAGCTAGGAGGCAGGACGAGAGCAGGCTTCGATAGACCGAAGGCATGTCGAAGGGCGTCGAGAAGTCTCGTAGCGTGAACCTTCAGGAGTACGTCTGGAGGTAGAGACCACGAAGCAAGCCTCGGGACTCCGAATGCTGGATGGGCCTGAGAAAAGGAACCGGACACAGATAAGCAAGCGAGAGGGATCTCCGCGTTCCGCCATTTCAAGTAATGCGATGCACGTATATCGAGGTGGATATTTTGGGGTCTCATCAGCGACTTGCAAACTCTAGCACTTGCATTGGATTCCATCCAGAGGTGGCGATGGTCGAGCCGGAAGGAGATGGCGGCCATCCGTACTGGGGCCTCGGTGTGCTGAGAAAATACCGGCTGTGCCGTAGCTCACAGAGCGTAGTATGTCATGCTGCTTCTGTGGTTGAACAGTTGAATCAACGTCGACAACGTACATGCGTACCGTAACGTACGTCTGGAAGGCATGATGGTTGCTGGCAAGCTGACAGACGCCACCTCCATCAGATTCACCATCGCCGCAAAAGGTGGTCGCTTGTACATAGTCTTGCCGGTAGATAACAAGTTAGGTTACAGCCGTTTTCATATCGATAGGCCCTTTTCGAATAATTTATATGGATAGTGCGGAAATGTCAGTTCCGCTCGCTGGCGAGCCTACGCGATGGCTGCCCATCATTCTCCGCCACAACCGACAATCAGCACATTATTTTTGGAAGGGCCTATCGATATGAAAACGGCTGTAAGCCGCCCCGAGCGAATTGTTTCGGGTGCCAAACCCTAGAATGATTCAGGCCCTGGTCGGCAGCGTCAACCCCCCAGCGTTGATAGCGCGAAAAGGTGATCGTGGGAGACAGAGCATTGATCAATCGTACGCCAAATCTCGAGGGGTTGATCCCGGGGTTGACGCTGCCGACCAGGGCCTCAAAGACCTTGAGGAGAGATCTACTGAATATACGGTTGAAGCAAGCCCAAAAAGTGACTGGCAACCTCTCTGTGGGTGAGTCGAACCCCGCTTTCGCGCGTAACAGGCGCGTGTACTAACCGATACACTAACAAAGATATTGTGAGATGATTGTGACAAGAGTGTCTCCGGAAAATGTGAACACCACAGAAACAACAGCGAAAAGCACCGGAGAGGGAAAAGGAAAAAACCAGAGAGCATTCTCCATCCCATATTGACCATGTAACCATCGAAGTCAGGGATGATCGCTCTCGTTATGGTCCCCAGACAAGTCGAACCCTGCAACGTGCAAAATTGTTGCGAGCTACGTGGTAATAGGTCAACCCTCAGCACCAACCACGGAGCTAGCCTTAGCTGAGTACATACCTGCACCTTCGCAATGGACTTTATCTGCTCAAAATCGTATCCCTCTCGCTCCGATAAGTCACCTAGGAGGTTCCGATCATGAGTGGACAGGAACCGCTTGAATAGTCCAAGTACCGGGACGGCTCACCGCTGTCATGGTACATCGGGTCCTTGATATACCCTGCACGCTCGTACACTTGCGCCGACGGATAGCCCTGTTCGTGGAAACTTTGATGGTCGCTTCCTCCAGGCTGCGTGCCAATGTTAGTATAGTCAACTCTACGTGAAAGAGATAAACTTACATATGGCGCGTAACCGACAGTCAGCTCGGGACTATAGATTGCTGAGACATTGGCCAAGATTTGGGTGACCTCAGCGGTGCCGACTCTGCCAAAAACAGGCACAGTTCAGTCAAACTGTCATATGATGCGTGGCATCGGAGCAACTAACAAAGCAGGGTTTGACAAGCCAAGCTGCGGAGGCTCCCCAGCCGCATGGAACGCCAACATGTCGCCCTGAACCATAAGTAGGACATCTTCGCCCCGTGCCCGGAGCTTCGCTGCGGTAGAGTCAACTTCCGGAGATATCAATATGTCGAACGTTCGGGCCTAACCTGCGTATGCGCGAGAGCCGACCATCGATTGCTCTTCGCCCGAAAATGCGCAGAGTCGTACGGTCTTGCGGAAGACGACCCCACGCCGCGCAATGGCTCTTGCAATGGCCAGAAGTGCACCTGTACCCGAACCGTCGTCGTTTGCTCCAGGGGCGCGCACACTGCCGAAAGAACCACGGTCATCGTAGTGCACTCCGAGGATGACTGTCTCGGTCGAGTTCCCTGACGCCCCAAACTCACTGCGCAATTTTGTCTAGTTAGCCATGACTCCGAGACGGGGATGGTGAACGCGCACCATATGACATTTGGAGAGAAGCCTTCCTCAAAATGCTCCAGCGCACAAGATGCTCCAGACTCTTCCAAGCGCACTTTCAACCACTCCGCAGCCCGTATTGCGCCTTCAGAAAAAGAGTGTCGTGACAGGATATCAGAGGATGGATCTTCGCCGGTCAGGTACTGGATGTCTTCCCTGAGGTGATAGACGGATATACCATTCACAACTGCGGCTATAACATAGTTGTACCTGATAGTTAGCAGTAAGTCCCTTAGTCGTTCTCTAACCCGACGTGAGACCGGGATAAGAGGGAGCGGAGAGGTTGGGAGGACGGAGAATGCCCAGTAACGCGGTAGGACCGCCTCGATTGACTGGAGTGTCCAGTTGTCGACAGAGAGCAGGGCTCCGGTTTGCTCGAGGTGCAGAACGTCGAAGCGGGGGACAATTTTTTGCGTGGGCTCCAGTTTGAAGTGCGTTTGCCAAAAACTTACAGTCTCCTCCGAGTCCACGTCCGGTCCGGATCCAGGAAGATTTGCCAGCTTGGTCAACAAACCTCCAAGATCCGATTCGAAAGACGTCGGAACCAACGATGAGTCCATTGGGCTCCGTCCGACCCAGACCAAGTTTTCCGCCCATTGCACGTCCACCGCAGTGCCGAGTTCAGTGAAGCTGAATGAAGAGAAGCGGCATGCCTCATCAACGAGGAACGCGTGTCGCGAGCTGTAAGTGCCATAGTAGGATCGGAATAAGCAGTCATATGAGGATGGTACGTGGTCCAACCCTAGCAGGGGAACTAGGAGAAGGGTCAATGGCCCGCGCAAGACCATGGTGGTCGTGAGGAAGTATGTAAAGTAGCGCACTGCACACTTGCCTAACTCCGCTGTCTCGTACTACAGTATATTTAATATTATCATACATAATTGAGCGTGAAAATTTACAGACGTTTTCATATCGATAGGCCCTTTTTGAATAATCTATGTGGATAGTGCGGATTGTCAGTTCCGCTCGCTGGCGAGCCTACGCGATGGTTGCCCATCATTCTCCGCCGCGTCACTTTCGTGTACCGCCAGAGTCCGCCACAGCGGACAATCAGCACATTATTTTTAAGGGGCCTATCGATATGAAAACGGCTGTACCTGTCCGCACACTACGTACTGCTACGTATTAGCGGCCCTTCCGATCCTTCTCTAGCCAGTCCTTCTCCTCCTACGTGTCATCTCAGTCTGGCGATACCATGCTGCGCAGTCACCTTGCGTGCGCTATAAAAATATAGCTGTACTTGACCCTCGCGAATGCTGAAATAGAAAGTCGAATGACAAGCTCGTCATCTCAACCCGGTCCAACTACAGACGTATCTATATGTCGCGCGCCGTCATGGTCGTCAAACACAAGACTCGTATTGGTCGCTAGAGGCCGACTCACAGGAAGTTGGTGTTGGCAAAGTCCCCCGCGGGTGGTGAGAGTTTGACGTAGGGGCAGAATACTTAAAGCAGTGCGTAAAAAAACACGATTTGTTGAATCCCTTTATTTTGAGTTCTTGCGGGCTCTGCTTGGTCGGATCATCATTCTCCTGCTTGAACTTGTCTGCCCGAAGATCGTTTCTTCGGAAACACATGGCTGCTTGAGGTCAATCTTCAAATTACATATGGTTCGACCTCGTCTATGGCCTGGTCGAGAATTCGGTCCCACACGTTAACTTCAACCCCTTCCCTTCTACCGTCATCTTGCATGGTTATTTGTTTCCCCTGTCTGGTGATGAGGCGTCGAATAAGCCGCACCCGTGAGTTACCTCAAGATGAAGGTGAGCCCACAAGCCACGTTGACTACCGCTTCTAGTGATTGGCTCTCGACGTCGTTGGATTGCGAGATTCCTCTCCTGTCATTTCAGTCCCCTGCGAAGACAGGTCGCCCTCTCAACCGCAAGGTAATGGCTCTTCTAGATCAAGCATTCTATCTCTATGCCAGCTGCAGTGATCACTTACTATCATTGCTTTGTCTTGCATAATGGTGCTTTTGCTGACCCTCCTGTCCCCAGCTCGACGCCACTCCGTGGTATCTCCATCTCCCAGGCTGCCATTCGAGCTACTCGAGCACATTGTTGACAACATTCGGAACGATGATGTGGATGACGTGGACTTCTACTCGAATTTCGACGAATTTCGTGCGTGTTGCCTGGTCTGCCGTGGGCTGCTCCCGCGTAGTCGACGCAATCTACTTCGGAGAGTTTGCATCCTCAATATGAGGCAGCTGCAATGCTTCACCTGGATGCTCGACAACGCGGAGGAAAATAGGCCCTATGTTTTCGAACTCATCGTCCTCTCAATTGCCGAGAAACCGTCACCAGCCGAGAGCTTTTCAGTCCTGTTCGCGCACAAGCTTCCCAATCTGCGGTATCTTCGACTGCGCACGGAGATGGGCCCCGTACCTGACCCTGCAATGCGGCCAGCCGTGGGGATGCACCGCAGCGCTTTAGCATGCTTGTCAGCATTCCAAGACGTCGAAGAGCTGCAGTTATTTGGACTGCGGTTCTTACAATACAAACACTTCCTCCGGCTCGTTTCCTCCCTGCCGAAGCTCTCCACGCTACAATGTATGCAACTCTGGTTCAACCCCTCCGGTCCTCGTTCCGCGTCCGATCTTGCCATCCCTGATCATCCTCCCATACGTCGGTTGCGATTGTCTCATATCGACGTACGCCATCTCTCTTCATTTCGACGCTCGTTTCCGATGATCCTTTAACTGTGGGTTTTCCAGCTAGCCTTTGTCCCCCGGGTAGTGATGACGGGCCTACTGCATACCGTGGACCCGGACTGCATCCACCACCTGGTCATCACTCCTAACAAGGTTCTGCCCACCACCGATGTCAGAGGCAGGTCTAGGTCATCCTTTCCGTCAGATATCCTGCAGCTGACACCTTCCCTACCGCAGTCATATACCGTGACGTGGCCACATTCCACAATCTCGAGTCATTCACTTTCTTCATTGCGGTCACCGAAGACGGTGCCGAGTATGCGGAAGTCCTGGGACTCGTCACGCTGCTAAACCGCAATGTCCGCACTATCACCCTGTCTCATTACCTCCACGGTGCGGCTCGTAACCACAAAGTTCCCAAGCAAAGCATGATCGATGTTATCGGGCGGAACGCCGACGCCCTGCAGAGGTCACTCGACCCTGGAGAATTCTCCGCAGGCACACGCGTCATCCTGCAGTTTCAAGGATTCCATGACAGCGAAGCGTGGTGGACCAAGGAGCTCGAGCCGATCCTTCCGAAACTGTTCAAAGTTCAGAACGACCGTCAGCCAGGAAGGAGATACCTCTCTGTGGAGAACGTCACTTGTAGGTCCCTGTGTACCTCAGGATGCCCACCGGATGCTGAAAATGTGTTTTAACAGATAGTGATTGGTCGCCCTGGCAGGACGATAAAGACAGGTCTGCTCCGAGTTGACACTTACTGATTTGTATCGTCCTCCTGGTACCCATTCGTAGACAGATTTGGACTCACGTTCGCACTCCATACTGCTTCTGCTCGATTTGACGTTGCTTCCCGTACCCATGACTGAACCGCCGATCTACCCAACGAATCCTTGAAGTGCTTCAGTGCTTCCCCCATGCATGACCGGTTAGGGTCTCGCATTGAGTACGATGCTGAACGATCTCTCGCATTGGCAGATACACCAGATACTGTGACGCAACGATGATGTCTCCGAACGTGTTCGGGACGAAATTCAAACGACTGCCTAGTCCAGCGCACCCTGCCTCCTTCTGGCGTCGCAACCTCTTCCTCCTCCCCATCTCCACCAACAAACACCCCAGGCAGCCGATACTTAAAATGATAATTCACTCGCAAGTGAATCGAAGGCGTAGAA